GACCCCATGAACAAAAGACCTGAAGCCCCTCTACAACCATCGACATTTATCAAAGTTCATAGAGTTTCCAGAGGCGTGTTATTTATATGCCAAAAAAGTGTCTTTATTTGTAATATGCTAATTTGGGCACAAATTTACTTTTATCCTCCCATAAGAGTCTCTGAAACAATATTTTTTCATTCCAAAATCAAAAGCTAGATTAGTGGGTTGTTTGGTCAGAGGCTCAACCTTAGCCAAGCACAGAGAGAGGCGAACCATTATTGAAGTCAGATGAAAATATCCTCATAGCGCATATGTGGACAACATACTAATACCATCTAACAGTCCCTCTGAGAGCCATCACATAATAAGGATGTCTTGGGCAAGATCATTTAATGGCCTGAGTCAGTCTGTAACCTTCTGTGATAAGTACCAGAAAAACTACTTAAGACAGAGAAAATGCTTTATGATGCTGTATTCAAAATGTTTTTGATTTTGCTTCCCCCCGTTTCCTCAGGTCTAAGGTACAGTTTGAAACATGAAAGAAGCGATGATGATTTTACAGAATCGGGGGTCTCCCACTGAGTGTGCTAAACATGGTGTACTCTCCACTTTGAGGAACACCGAGATACTAAATACCTTTCTGTCTGGTGGTATGTGTATGTTGTGTGCCACTGAGTTGGAACCAACCCATAGGCGACCATCCAGTAGGTATCCAGAGGCAGTTAATCTCATGGGAGGAGATTGTTCATCCTTCTCCTAAGTAGCAGCTGGTGGATTCAAACTGTGTGCCTTTATCATTGTAGTGCAGTTTCTTACCACTGGGCTACTAGCGTTCCATAGTGGTTTGTTGTTAGTGTGTATTGTAGAGTCGGAACCAACTCATAACTAACTCTCCAGCGGGTTCTCAGAAGCAGTTAATTGCATGGGAGGAGATTGCTCATCCTTCTTCATCTCTGTTAGACCAACACTATGAGTCAGAATTGACTAAGTGGATGGGAGTGAGCTTTGTTTGTTGTTGTTATTGTTATTGTTATGTGCCATCGAGTTGTTTGCGACTCATAGCGACCCTATGTACAACAGCCCTAAACCTTGCTGTATGTTGTCCAATCGCACTGCCTCTGACACACCCATCCCGATTACCCCAGTCACTGAATCAATCCACCTCATAGAGGGTCTTCCCCTCCTGCGCTGTCCCTCCACCCTACCAAGCATGATATCCCTCTCCAAGGAGCAGCCTGGTTTAACCCTCTCTAGGATGAATCTATTTGTTTTCTTGGCACTTTCTTGGTACTTTCATTACTCTTCTCCAGCACCACAGCTCAAAGGCATCAATTCTCTTTTTCTTCGTAGTCATTCTCCAACTCTCTGATGCATAACAAGTGATTGCAAATACCATAGCCTGTATCAGACACACCTTAGTCTCCAGAGTGACACCATTGCTCTTCAGTACCCTGGAGAGGTCCTTAGTAACAGATTTTCCCATCACAGTGCGTTTTTTTATTTCCTGGCTACTAGTGCCAAGAGCGTTGACCGTGGAGCCAAGCAGACTAAAGTTATTAACAATCTCAGTCTTTCACCATCCATCCTGATGCTGCCAATTAGTCCATTGGTGAGAATCTTTGTCTTCTTGACATTGCGCCTCAATCCATGCTGAAGGCTGCAGTCCTTGACCCTCTGCAGCAAACATTTCAAGTCCTCCTCAGTTTCAGCAAGCAGGGTTGTGTCATCTGCATAATGCAGATTGTTGATATATCTTCCACCAATCCTGACGCCACACTTCTCCTCAAAGAGCCCAGCCTCTCGGATAATCTGTTCTGCATACAGGTTGAAAAGGTATGGAGATAGGACACATCCCTGGCGTACACCTTTCCCAGTTTTGAACCATGCAGTATTTCCCTGCCCTGTTCTGATACTTGCTTCTTGGTCCACGTATAAGTTTCTCATTAGTACGATCAAATGTTCTGGGATTCCCATTCTTCTCAGAGTCAGCCACAGTTTGTTATGATCCATATAGTCAAATGCCTTTGCATAATCAATGAAACACACATAGACATTCTTCTGCTATTCCCTGCTTTCAGCTAAGATCCATCTAACCTCAACTACAATATCCCTAGTACCACGACCACTTCTAAACCCAGCCTGGACTTCTGGCAGTTCTCTGCTGATGTATGTGAAATCAGTGATATTGTTATGTAGTTTTCCACACTCTGTTGGGTCACCCTTCTTTGGAATCGGAACAAATATCGATCTCTTCCAGTCAGTTGGCCAAGTGGTTGGTTGTTCTCCAGATTTCTTGGCACAACTTGGGTGAGCACATCCAGGGCAGCATCTGATAGCTGAAATATGTCAATTGGTATACCATCTGTTCCTGGGGCCTTATTTTTTGCTAATTTCCTTCAAAGCAGCTTGAACTTCTGCCTTCATCACCATAGGCTCTTGCTCAAATGTTATTTCATTAAATTCTTCAGTATCTGCCAATTCCTTTCTATATAATGACTCAGTATATTCCTTCCATCTTCTTTTAATATTTCCTGGATCATTTAATATTCTGCCCAAAGCATCCTTGAGGTTTGAATTTGTTCTTCAGTTCCTTGAGCTTAAGAAATGCTGAACAAGTTTGGCCCTTTTGATTTTCTGACTCTAGCTCCTCGCACATTTCATTGTAGTATTTTGCTTTATCATTCCGAGCAGCCTTTTGGAATCTTCTGTTCAGCTCTTTAGTATCTTGAATTCTTCCTTGTGCTTTGGCTTCTCTGTCTTCCAGTGCTACTGTAAACTTGTAGGTAGTTCCAAGTCTAAGCCAGGTATTCACAGCTCCCCTCCAGAAAATGTGACCTGACTTGCCTAACTCTTCAGTTACCATAGATAATGGGAAACATTTTTGTTTATGTAGTGGCAGCTGGGCCCTGAGAGGTCATTGTCTGGCAGTCTGTCTTCTCTCTGCTGCCTTTGCTGTGATTCCTGTCAAGGCTGGCATTGTCCTCTCTTTTCTGTGTTCATCTTCCATCTGATATCCCTGCTTTCAGTCTTTCTTCTTCCAGTCTGTTTTTCAGCCTGTTTCCTCAGTCATCTTTAAAAATACGAATCCATTTATGGCATACTCTCCTCTGAAATCTATTAAAAGCTTCTCTGTTTCTGGCCTGAAGAACAAAGTTCTTTCCTTCACTTAGAAGGTTTTGCATCTTCTGGCTCCTTAGATTTGTTTTAGATCACTCTTGCCTATGCTCTTTTGCATACAGCCCTTCTTTCAGTTCCTCCAAACCTCTATTCTTTTTCTGCCATGGAGACTTCACATTTACACTGACTCTCCTCTCTGTCTGCCATACTCATTGTTCGTGCTCATTTCAGTGAGTTTTCTTAAGGGAAACCCCAGTTAGATTTTCCTGTTAAATAGCTCAGTGGTATGTATGTGTATTTTCTTTGTAGCCCTTACCACACTTGTTCATGCTATCTTTTGTTTTCTTCCTTGATTGCTTTTAATGAAGGCAAAGAAATGGCTTTGCTTCTGTATCCAGCATATGTGCGCTCTCTCATTTGGCAGGAGCACTGCTACTGGCCTCTCTCTCCCTCTCACTCTATGTCACATAGACACACATTTTACTCTTTAGAACACTTAACAACCTCAAAAGGGTAGTGTTTACCCAAGAGTAAAGTCAGAAAGCAAAAAGATAAGACATGGAAATGGGAGACCTAGGAAGAAGTGACATGAGCACTATTAAAACTGTGAAGAAGTTCATGAAACATATGTATGGATTATTGACTGGAAATTAATCTGCTCTGTAAACTTTAACTGCCATCAACTGTTCGTGGGAATGTAAAATGGTTCACTCACTGTGGAAAGCCGTTTGGCTCTACCTTAGAAAGCTGAGGACAGAAATGCCATTTCATCCAGCAGGCTCACTATTAAGTGTGTATTTCAGTGAAATACTGACATACTCACACTCAAGTTTGTTGCCAGCTTATCTATGATAGCAAAGAAATATGATAACAAAGGCAGCCCAGTGCCCATCAGTAGATGAATGGCTAAAGAAGATATGGCACGTTCACACAGTAGAGTATTAAAGAATTCATGTTTTCTGGTTTGGAGTTGAGACTTGGGTGTGGTTCTTGCTCACAACTGGATGTGAGCTGATTGGATTTGGCCTCATAAAAAGCATTTGGGCTCTTGGGACTGGTTTTGGGGGAGCTCTCGAATAAAACAGGCTTGGAAGTAGGAGTAACATCCACTTTCAGAAAAAAAAGCTTGCTTCTGGAAACTCTGTGAACTTGGAGAAAAGATTAAAGTTTCGTGTTCAAGACTGTCGCTCGTAGGGTCACTATGGGTTGTCTTCTACTTGATGGTACTTAACAACCACACCACCACCACATAACATAGCTGAATCTAGAACAAAATGCTGAGTGACCTAGGCCAATAGCAGAAAGGCATTATGATGTAAGGATGCAGTTGTAAAAAAACCAAGGAAAGGTTTACACACAGAATCAACTTTGGAACATTAATAGGAATGAGAAAGGAGGGAGAGAGGAATAAAATTAAGAGATAAGTTGGATGAAGAAACAGGCAATATACAGTAAGGGGTTGATTAGATAAAAGGTTGGATAATAAAGAATTGTAATTATATTGATCAATTATAATGTTTTACTGCAAAATGTCTATGAATGATGGAGTAAAAAAACCAATATTATTTGTAAAGTTTCACTTAAATGAAAAGTAATAAAATTACTTAAAAAAGATTTAAAATACACCCTCTAATACACATGTACTGATTTATAAGTGTATATGTAATTTTCTGTTAATCTTAATGAAGAATTGCCAGTGATGATAAGGACTTACTTTATATCTTAAAATTAGTGTTTGTATTTGAGAGTATATATGTTTAGCATGAATTCTGTTATTTTTATTTCATTTCACTGCTGTTCAAAATATATCACGTCATTTTGGTTCAGAGCTTTGTGTGTTTTGTATCTTGTCACATGGCTGGGTTCTATCCATCCATCCTATTCAAGGTAAAGAAACTGCTGCAATGAAGGCTGACCTCCTGAGGGCCCGGAACATGAAAAGGTACATTAACCAACTAACTGTGGCAAAGAAGCAGTGTGAGAAGAGAATCAAAATCCTGGGAGGCCCGATCTATGACCAGCCAGAGGATGGGGCCTCAGATGAGGTGGAAGGACCTCAGAACCAAAAGGTAGCACTTTATAGTTTTCTCTTGAATCTGTGTTTGTTGTGAACGTTGATATAATCACATATATGCTTTTCACTTAGTACATGTGACTTGACCTGCATCTTCCAGAACTACCCAAACCCATTGCTGTCATATTGAATCCAGCTCGCAGATTGGGTTTCTGAGGCTGTAAAGCTTTATAGGAGGGGACTGACTATTTTTCATTTTCCCCCTTAGAATGGCTTGTGGCTTTAAACTGCTGACTTTTTGGTTAGTGGTATAGTAAGTTATACACTACACCACCAGGTTTCCTTTACACAACCACAGATTTGATATATTTGCTCTTAGGGGTGAGACAACTATTTTTGTGTCTAACTTCTGTGAATGATGAAAAGCATGATGGGTAGGAGTGAGATGTGTGTCCGTGTGTATGTTTGTCTTTATCCACTCCTTTCTACCCTTCTCCAGTTCTATAGGGAAATAGTTGCAAGGGTCAAGTAGTCAAATGATCTGCGACCATCTTAATAGTAAAGACCATCCGTGAAGTAGAAAATATTTTGCATAAATTGTTTTACTTGAAGAAATGCTCAGAATCACTGGCAACAAGAGAGCTGCAAATCAAAACCACAGTGAGATACCATCTCAGTCCAGTAGCAGTAGCAAAGTTTAACAAGACCACAGGTAATAATGTTGGAGAGGATGTGGTGAGATAGGAGCACTTAGACATTGTTGGTGGGATTGTAAAATGATACAACCACTCTGGAAGGCAGTTTGGTGCTTTCTCAAAAAGCTGAACATAGAAATTCCATATGAACCAACTATTTTGCTGCTTGGAATATAC